GAGCATATCAAAATTTTTGCTGCAGGCCAATCAATTGAAGGCCAGGACTCAAAACAAAGATGCAATGACCAGGCCTCCATCCTCTAAGAGGCATAAGAAATAACTTGAGATTATACTGTAAATGATATCACCTGGTCTAGTATAGTCCAGAAAGGCAGGTGGGTGATCAAAACATCTGGACCCATGCCTTCTCCCAAAATGCCTTTGTTCTTTCTATATATCTTTGGTTTATGAACTGCTTCCTTATTGGATCAATATTATCTAGGCAGTTATACTTGTAACCTTATTGGTTGATTATAATTTGACTTATACTCACCTCATGATTTTGTACCCACCTCACAATTTTGCTCTAAAAAATATTCTTGAGAAATTGCCTCTGTGGCAACCTATTTTCTGGATCCTCTTGTCTCTCCCCATTTTTCCTTGTAACTCATTCTTCTATTTCAGGGGACAAGAACTTGGTGTATCTGACATCTAGCAGATTGGAAGTTACATTTCATTTATATCACCATCATTTTTATATGTCAAATTTCTCCAAATATGTCAAACAATGATCTTGAACTTTTCATGGGTATTTGTAATACATGTTTACCTTCCTTGTGGGTAATTGCTACACATATATTATACATTTTAATTCATTTTCTCCATTCCATTCCCTCCTCTCCTCTAACCCTGATGCTTTTCTTTTTCATAAATGTTGGTAGGACATAAGTTTTATCTTCTTTGTGTAGAGTTGGTTGTGTAGAATTGATGCATGTACATAACATTTCCTTTTTTCATACTCTTTCCCTCTCTTCTTTCTCCCCTCCCTCCAAGGAGGCAACAACAAAGGATAAAAGTAGGAAAAAATTATTGAGAGATAAGCTCCCTCCACCTCTTAATGGTCCTCTCCTTTGAAAAAGATCTATCTTTCTACTTTCTATTGTCTCTCTTTTATTTTTCTCTTTACTTATGCATTGAGTTTCTCATACAGTAGAAACCTTGCAATTTTTAAGATTGTGTGTCTGATTTATTACACTTAACATTATGGTCTCAAGGTGATCACAAACTTTTTAGAAAAAGTATCAAATTGCTTGAGATATTTGTGACCAGGTGTGGTGGGTCATGCCTATAATCCCAGCATTCCTGAAGCTCAGGAAGAAGGATCATCTGGAGCTCAGGGCCAGACTGGGCTATATTGTAATTTTAAGACTCCTGTGAACTGTATAGGAAGATCCTGTCTCAAAAACAAATTGCTTGAGATATTTAAACTGCAGCAGATGTATATGAACTATTTCTTGAGATAATTAAACTTCATGGTATACACAAAATTATCACAAGACAGATAACATTCTTTATGTTGAAATTTTAACTTTGCCAATCTAATTTGTAGATTCAAGAATATTCTAGAATATTGTTGACCTCATGAATTTCTATTCAGAAGCAGCAAAGTACTTATCTTCATTTGTAGGGATTTTTAAAGAAAATGTTTGACTTTCTTCAGATATATTTGCTGATCATTGAGAACTTTTTTATTAAAAAATATAAATGAGGAGCCAGGGATTTAGCTCAGTGGTTCTGCCACCTGCTTCCCAAGAACAAGGCCTCAAGTTCAATCCCCTGTACCAAAAAAAAAAAAAAAAAAGGAAAGAAAAGAAAAGAAAAAAAATGTGAGAGTTCATTATGCTGAGAATTCTGGGTTTCCACAAAAAAAATTGAAGCCCAATATAAATTAAAAAACAATATTTAAGTGTAACCAGTCAGGAACCATAAATTAACCTTGAATTGGGAATTTTCTTTTGGATTTTACTCCAATAAGGTGAAGGCCAGTTGTAACTAATCAAGTAGTTATGTTACCCATCAAGGATTCGCTCCCTGCTGCTCATCGGGACCATACTATTGCACCACGTAGTTACAAAGCAACCTTATAGAGTGGCCAACCTGCACAAAGAGAACTTATATCTGTTTCTCTCATTACCTTTCTTGGGAGGTTGGGTGAGAGTGGCGAGGGGAACTGAGAAGTTACTTTTTGATTGCATGATGAGGAGGAGTTGTAGAGTTCTTGCCAGTAGATATAAATGGTCACTGTGCCTTTTCATATTTCTTGTGTTTCTTTTAGTGGAGTTATCTTGTTCTGCATGGAAAGGGGAGGCTTGAGCTTGTGACTTCAAAAGGTCATTACCTATAGAAGCTGATTCATTCTGAGTACATCCATTCTTGGAAAACCAATTGCAGACCATCCTTGCATGAATTCTGGAGGCTTTTCTGGAAGGAATGACTAAGAAATGTGTTACTTAATGAATTTCAGTCCAGTGTCCACCTGGTCTCAATGACCATCCATGGCCGTGTCCAGCATGAACACCCTGGTCAGGATGGCGAGGTGAATGACTCTGAAATTCTTCCATGCTTCAGTTCTGTGATTCATGAATCCATGAATGCTCAGATTGTGTTAAATTTATCTTAAGTTTTTTTTTTCTTTTAACAGTTCTTAGTGCCCTTTGTAGATGGTTATGCATGTATAAAAATATATTTTAAAGAAAAAATGAGAAATAAAATAAATATGACAATTTGAAATATCTCACCTGTCTCAAAAAATAGTATCACTCCTAAATCAGGAAATTAACTTTCATCCAAAGCTGCTTTCTGCTTAGTTGCTAGTTCTACTGTTTAAATATAGTCAAGCCTACTCATTTTCTCAAAATCTATAGGAGTTGCCTTATACTGTGTCTTTCAACGTATAATCTTTCAACGACCCTTCTGTTAGTTATATAGTGTTTGCATTCTGATGCACCCAAATTCACACCCATTAAAGTGGAAAGAAAAGCTAAAAGAGATTTATTAAAAAGAAAAAAAAAACATATTTTGACCCCAAAAAACAAAAACAAATTTTTTCTCTTTTTCATCCCTACTTTCACCTCTAGGAACAAAGGAATATATAAACTTGACCTACACTAAATAAATAAAATCAGCATCTCAGGAAGAATTCAAGCTCAAAGACAAGGAAGTTCAAAGAGGAAAAGGCCTAATTACTTTCATTAGCATTTCATTAGAATTTGAACCTTATTCTGAAGAGGGTGGGGTGAGATCTCCCTATGTGTCATTGGAAATGAACACTTGGGAACTCTTGACAGCCAGGAAAGAGGGTAATAATTTTACTTAATTTGTTTTTTTTAGGTTAACTTAAAAGAACTAACAGTTCCATTGTTCTTAGCCAAATACAACTGTGATTGAAGCTTTTCTACTCAGTGTTATGTAAAAAGACCTGAAAACCAGGACCAGACCAGAACCATGACAAGCCTTTATTATGGGGAGGATCTGCTGGGTTGTCTCCAAACAAAGGAGGAAAAAGCAACATGGCAGAACAGGGAACTTCTTTTATAGGAATGGGTGGAGTTAGCCTGAGCTGGGGTGGAGTTGAGTGAGGTAGTATTAAGAGATTGGAGGAGCCTGTGACATCACTAGGAGGGGCTTATGACATCACCAGATGCTAGGAGGTAGCGAGTAACAGATTACTCTTTTGGCGGGAGAAGAGGCATGATGGGAAGAATCCTGACCGTTGCTGGGAGAAGTCATATTTTAACATGGAGGCTGCTATTCCCTATGGCAGCCATATGAAGGCAAGGGAAATGTCGGTAAATGTATTAAAGTGGGAGAAAGATATCAGCAGTATTTCCACATATTATATATGTAAACATGTTATTTTTTTCTCCTCAACCCTTTAAAAGTCCAATTTGAATAAACTTTAAAGCATGTAAGTAACATCATCGAAATAATTATCTCAACTTTTATAGATACAAGTAAATGTATTATTTCAACAATCCCAGAGTTTGAAGAATTGCTCTAATTGTAATACAGGGAGAAGAAATGCAACTCCCAAAACCTGCTAGGTATCTGAAATGCAAGCTCATGTTCTCTAAAATGAAAGAATGAATTCTAGGAATAAGGGAGGTTAAGCATAGGATAAATGTATTGAGAGAAAGAACACTTCTAAAAAGCTGTTTCCAGGGAGGCAAATGGTTCAAAGAATAGATCATTCTTGGCAGTGAACATTTAATTTTGAGGATAGTTGGATTTTTCCACAAGCTATTAGTCACTCTTGTATGAGCTATTCTGAAGAAATACTTCCTGGACAGAGAAAGTTATGTATAAATAAATTTTTAAATTTTTCTTTTATTGAGTTTATTGGTACATTTTAGGTGGGAAGGGTAGGGGAAAGGTAATAAGGGAAAAGAAAAAAATATGACAAAATGAAAAAATGTATAAATAATTTAATTAGAATAAAGAGTAGGGAAAATTGGAATTAGATTATGTCTGTAAATAATGTAAAAAAGGTGGTTCATATATAGTGTGGAACAGCACAACCAAGATCCCCCTGGGAATGTGTGGATATAGACACAAGTTCTAGAGAAATACTTTTCTAGTAATCAAATTCTCTATCTTCTTTTAACAAAATTTATTTCTAAAGAAAGCTTATTGTGCCACTCTTCTTTTCTTAATTCTTTTGTGACCACATATTTCTTCCATTTTTCAAAGCATAGGCATACTTATTAGCCTTCTTGGTTCCAGGGTTAAAAACTCATGGGACATAAAAGAAAGTCAAAACAAATACTACTCCTAAAGAAGACATTTTCAATGAGGAACACTGTCCATGGTTAGGTCTTCAAATGTTTCATTATTGTCATGTCTGTTTAATCCAAAGCATGGAGAAAAGCACATATTTTATTTGCATGTGTAAAATGGATCTGTGATGAAAGTGAATAATTTTATTTTAAAACTTCAACTATTCTAATCTCCTAACTCTTTTGTACATCTGTAGGAGAAAAATCCTGAGGAAAAATGGAAGAGCTGTAAAATATGTCAAAGATGCTTTTATTTAGCAATGAAGAGATGCTTTCAAGGCCCTAGGAAGGCATTTAAAATATTTAAATATTTCATGAAAGCCACAAAAATAATATATTTTAATTATATTCAGTGAAAACTATTGTTTCTAAACTAGTTCTCCTCTTTATATTTGCTATTTCAGTGTATAGCTCAGAAGTGGCCACAGGCATCTGGGGAATCAGGAGAAGGAGTTGAACTTGGTAAGTTCAGTTTCAAGATGCCATGGATAGCTTGTCACTTCTACAAATACTATATTAATGTTAGCCTTCTATGTACAGTAGTGCTTTCCAGAAATAATATCTTTGTTCTGTGTTGACTTAGCCAATTTCATGATGAAGAGATGCAAAGCCAAAATTTGCAACCCCATGTAGGGTTACAAATCTATCCTATGATGATGTTTTAGAAAAACCTGGTACAGAAGGACCAGTTGAAAAATGTGGATGTTTCTAAGAAACTGAAGAAAGAGCCAGACAAATCCAGGATCACACAAAATGCAATTAATCAAAGACTCAAGGACTGAAATGTATATTGTCATCAGTAATACCAATACCTAAAATCAACAGGAAGGGGTTTATATTCTAAAGCAGGGGAGGATCATGGTTAATCCAAATGTGTCTTCTGGCAAAGATATTAACACAACAAATGTAAAGAAGCATTCTGGCCATCGGTGTCTGCCACAAAAATGCTACTCATAATGACTTTATCCTGGATGTCTACATTAATACCAGGTTTATCTGTTGTGCAAGATGAACAAGGTTATTTAAAGCTGATTCCTATATAAGGCATTAAAAATAAAAGTGTAGTAAAGGAGGAATAATGTGCAACTTAATGAGTCGGAAGAAATTATAGGATTATTTATTAACTGCTTTCTAATGATCACAAATGTACAATTTTAAATATAGGATTCGGTCTTCATTGTTGTTTAGCAAAAGGAAGTGTTACACACAAGAGTATCTTTGATGGCATACTGTATTCAATTATCACCCCTCCACACACACACGCACACACTGAGCCAGCATAGGATTTCACAAATGTTGAAAATTCTATAAATATACAGTCTTAAAACTTTTCTCAATATTTTGTATATATTAACATATTTTTCCCAACTTCTAATTTCCTGATGGCATGGTGGTACATACCTATAAACTCAGCACTTTGGAGGAGGAGTCAAGAGGATTGTGGTGAGTTCTAAAACAGCATGAGCTCCATAGTGAGTTCAAGACCAACCTGAACTATATAACTATATAGTGAGATTCATTCTCAAAAAAAAAAAAAAAAACAACTCTGACATGCAATATTTCTTTCTACTTTGTTAACCTAGATCCAAATATACACTAATAAGTATTTCATTAAATGTACTAAATTTTCAGTTGTACTGATTATGTTTACTATTGATCATTCTTCAAGTACATTTTAGTCTTTGCTTAAAATAGATTTCATGATTTTTCATAATTTCTTGCAAACATCTTAAATTCCTTTGCATTTCTCTCCTACCATGTGTGTGTGTGAGGGGGGGATCAAAACTCATAGACTTCCCTGCACCACGCTCACAGGGAGATCACACACATGTGTTCTGTTCTTACTTCAGAGGCATGACCATGTACCTCAAATAGGCAATCCATGTGGCCAAGCAGGAGTTCGCACTCCCTTTCTTTTCTCACTTTTACCTCTGCTCCTTGCCCCTACAGTGAAGCAACTAGTACATCCTTAAAGTAATTTACAGTACTAGAACAACAAAAAAAATTAAAAAGAGAAGCTCTAATTCTCTCTGAAATAGTCATTATTATCATTTTTCTGTTTGCTTTTGCACATACCTATTTATGTTTTCACAGATATAACTTTTATGTATTTATGCTATATTAAAGAACTTTTGGCTGGAGATTTAGTTCAGTGGTTCCGCCGCCTGCCTCACAAGTACAAGAACCCGAGTTTGATTCCCAGTGCCAAAATAAATAAATAAAAATTAAAAATAAAGAACATTCCCTTATATCTGCGATGAAACTGCTTTCCTTATCTCTCACTTCCATGATTTCTCCTACTTATGCATATTTGTACATGTATATATACACACAATGTTCTATGTAAACATGTTTTTCTGAGAGTTAACTCACTTGTTTATAAAATGGAACTACATCTGTTTTTCTTTTTACTTAACCATATCTCACAGAAAATCTGAGTCAATTACTATATAGTTAACCAATTCCAATTTATATAATATTCTAATGGCATAATTTATTCATTCTTTCTTCAGTATTAAACATACAATTGTGTTTTACTCAGTCACTACAGGTAATACTATGGTAAACATTCTTCATTTAGGCTTTGAAGGACTGACAATACACATATGAATTAGAATTTTGTGTTCAGACTTTTCCATTAAAATATGAGCTTTTGAAATTTTATGACCTTTACGTACATGTTGTCCAAAATTCATGTATTTTCACATATATACCAGCCAATCTTTAGCTCTATTAGATATTTGTGTGATGATAATATTTATCCATAATATAACATTGTAAATTTGTATTTGTGAGGTTTTGTTGTTACTTTGCAACAAGATTGCTAATATTAGCACAACAAACTACAATGTGTTTAAAAAATGTTCTTCTAAAATCCAGGTTTCTTTTTAAGGAAAAATAAGGAAAGAAGCACCACAAAGCCTAAGCTACAGGAAATTAGAGAAAAAAGGAAATAACTGAAAAGATTTGATGTGGAGTGAAAGAGGTCAGGAAAATGGAGGAGACTGAAGAGCTGCAAGTCTATCGCTCACATGAGGTGAACTATACCAACAAATAACGTGGTAGAATAAAATGACTATTTTTCATTGGCTTCAAAATGCTGCTATGCTTAAAGTTGACCCATATTAATCATATCTTTTTTCTGGCAAGAAAGTTTATCTAATTTGTCATCAAATGTAGAAATAACTGAGAGAAAACATAATTAGCACTGGATAACCCAGGAAGATGAGCTGAGGACTAAGTGTGCCTGAGAGCTCCAGCCTGACCTTTGGAAATCAACAGAAATGGCAGCAACTTTATAAGTTGAAAATTTCTGTGCTTCTTACCCTTTGGTAGGTCAATAAATCTAATAAAAAACAAGGCTGTTTGTAGTGCTTGATTGCTTGATTCTTTCATCAAGATCAGATGTATCTAGGCTTGTTAGTTTCCTTTATTACCAGAGAGCTTTTTATAGGTAACATATACAAGAACCAAAATATTTGTAGCCCCATACAAATGACATTTGAAATTTATGTGGTTAAGTACAAGAATGATAAATTACTACTATTAAAATTATATAATAAGTAAAGAGAAATATTTTATGAAATTTTTCCATCTTTTGAATGATGAAAATAAAATTTAAAGGTAATAATATACAGAGAAGTCAGATCAAGTTTTCTTTTTCTTTGCACATACATCTATGTATTTGTCTATCTGTGTATCTGTATTGTGCATCTATCAGCCTACTCACATATATGTCTATCCCTTCTCAATAGGCTGTGGTTATTTAAAACCATTTTGATGGTGGTGCTGGGTGTGTGTGTGGGGTGGATACATGTGTATATATATATCTGCAGTTTTTAATGTATGCTATATTTAGTCGGGTTTTAAAAAGAATTCTGCCCTTGTTACTTAAACTTGTATTCCCTCTTGAATGCTCACTTTTGTAGAAATAATATTGTCCTCCTTTTTAGATATTGTGCTACTAAATTTTCACATTATGAATAGAATAATCCATTGGGGAAAATGAGCAGTGTTTCAGAAACAAGATTGTAAGTCCTCAGTAAGCTATTTTCTTAACAGTCTTAAGTTGAGGAGGATTTAAGGATTTATTCTGCCTTTCAGCATTAGCTTCATAAATACTTGCCCTCTCTTTTTATGAGTAAAGAAAAAGAGTTCTTTAAGTGGATAACTTAGCACCCGGAGTGCCCTAGATTCTGCAAAACATTGCAAAGAAAGGTTGCATTTCTATGCCTGAAGCTTCTTGGTTTAAGCTCAGACAATTCAAACAATTCACATTCAGTTTTCTTCAATTAATAAAAAGGGTGACTTCTGGAAATCTTTTGATCTGGAAGTACTTATTTAAAATTTAAAAATACTAAAGGAAAAGAAAAAAACTTTTGCAAAGTTTAGGAGGGTCCATAGCAAGGAATATATATTCAAGATGAGAAGGATAAATGATAAGCAAATAAAAGCTAGGACAAAAATGAGACTCTATAGAAAGAAAGAAAACTCGCCAGCCATATATGAGATCAAGGTTACTAGAGTTTCTTCCCACCAAGGAAAGAAGAAAATAGACTGAGGCGATGAGGTGCTGAGTGAGGTGCCTTCTCCAGTCCACTTTTGTGTCAGAATTTAAGATGACTCAAGGTTGGTAACACAGGCTCCATTATTTTAAAGTTAATGAAAAATGAACTTTAAAAATAAAAGTTGAGGACAATTTGTGAGTTTTCTAATTAGTATAAATGGGTCATGATTTCAATTACAAAGTAAGCCCTAAGTTGAAGATCGATGGCAATTATTTCTTTATTTGTTTATTGAGTCATGATCTCGCCATACCTTTAAGGCTGGCTTCATACTCACTGTTCTCCCACTTCAGCCTCCTAAGTTTTGGGGTTATGAATGTGCACTAACATACTTGGAAAATTTTAACTCTTAGAGTAATTTATTTATATCCCAATAACACATAAATTAAAGAATTGCCAGACTTTTGTTAAAATATGTTTGCTGCAACCTTAAAGCGAAGCCACAAATCTCACTATAGATCCATTTCAGATAAATAGGGGATTTTAAACCCAGAAGCTATTTGAGTAAAAGAATATTTATACTGTATAAGCAAAGCCCCAGGCTAATTAAAATATTTTATATCTTATTCAAATATTTTGATATTCATTGACTCAGACTTTTACATCACTCCAAATTACTGAAAATTAGATACTAAAACAATAATGCATGCAAAAAGAAAATATATACAAAAATTTCTGTATTGCTGGGAAAATATAGCTTTTAAGTATTTCTCAGACTCTGTACTTAAATGTTGAGTTCCTCTGAGTAACAAGTTAATGTAGTATGTGGGCCTTTCAGCTTAAAGAAGTGAACGGTACATTCATTAAAAATAATTTGATGATGGTAATTATGGAGGAAAGGAAAGAAGGAAAAAGAAAGGGAAAAGAGAAAAAAAGAAAGACAGAGAGAGAGAGAGAAAGAAAAAGAAAGAGAAAAAGGAGAAAAGAAAAGAAAGGAAGAAAGAACATGAAAAAAAGAAAATGAAACAAAATCCCAGACAGATTGGTTCTGTGTATTTAACAAGAAACTAAATCTTTTTTTTTCCCCCCTTTTCAATCCACTGTGCCAATTGTTTGGCAAGATGTAACACAGAACTGGAAATGCTTCCAATTATCATTGTAGAATGTTGGTCACACTTCATTTTAAATCTACCACACCAAGAAATATACCAGCACAGTATCTGAAGATAAATTGCTATTTCTGTTTACTAAATTAAATTTGTGCCTTTGAGCAATTAAAAGTTTTAAACTTTGCAGGGTTTTATTTAAATTTTAAGCTGTATGTTTTTTTCATTTTTAATTTAGATTCCTAGATTCACTACCAATTCAGTATCTTGTAATTTAACCTTCTTTCTGAAACAGAATTAGTTCATCATATTATCATGTAACCCTAATTTGTCAGGATTAATTATACATCAGTATCTGGAAACCATTTGACGTTATTAGAATTCAATTATGTAATTGCTAACTGGCACTAAGTCAAGTTATTCTGTTAACAAGATAATAAAAAATACTTTATATAATGTGAAGAGAAGTTTTGGATATTTATAATATAGAGTGCATAGTATTTCAAAATTATGTACATTAGGATTATTAAGAAAAAAACAGAAATACCTGAGAAACTCACTAACATATCCAAATACTTAGTGCACCATTCAAGTAAATTGGTTGGAAAACATTGCACATTTTTCATGAGTCTATTATCATTCAAAGCATTTTTAGAGTTGCCTTTTCTACCTTACCAGCCACAAAGAAAATTAGGTTAATTTCTTCAATGATATGTACTTTCTGACTGAAAGACAGCTAATCAGAAAAAATTGTACCTAAGAAAGGCATCCAAAATTTTTTGGCTATTTCACAAAAGAAATTTAACCTCACAGAATGAATATTTGCCAACCTCAGGAATGTAACATGGATTTCATCTGAGATTCTAATACAAATCGAGGCAAATTAAGAATTATAACATCTTGTAAATTATATAATTTCCTGGGTACTTAATTTGGATCTAAAGAGTTTAGACTAAAATTGGATTAAATTAAATTTGAATTAAAATTGGATTAAAGGTTTGTTAAATTTTTGCACATTATTTTACCTTCTTCAACTCCATGAAACAAAGCCCTACAAATAGAAAATGCTTGAAAAAGCAAGTACTTGCTGTAGACCAGAATGTGATATGCCATTTCATTTGGTTTTTGAAACTGGCATGGTAAGTGTGGAGGACTGCTTTGCTCATGATCATCTACATACCAGGTAGAGAGGACTATCTGACTCTTTCCTGCATACGTTCACCTGGACACATACATATATACACATAATGTTATCGCAAGAATCATTCTATTACTGTTGCTGCAAGTCATCAATGACATACCAAATACTTTGAGATATATATATAAAATACTAATTTACTTCTTGTTTTATTTACTTTTTCTTCACTGAGACAAATTTCCTGGCACATGCAAATTAAAGGAGTGGTTTATCATATCTCACATGTACAGTCCATGGCTGACTGACCCCAAGGCAGCAACACCGTGGTGGAAGGGCGTGGCCAGGGAAAACCTGCTCATGTCACAGCATCCAGGAAGCAGGAAGTGATGAGAGAAGCCGGAAGGAGACAGACCCTTCCAGATCCGGTCCACGTTGCTTCCTCTCCAAGAAGACCTCTCAGCATTCTTATCTATGAACTCTAAGGACAGTGCCCCACCATGCAAGCACCTTCCAAAGTCCCTCTTCTCAGTAGATGAGCCTCTGGGGGAAATATTCTGGATCTAAACCAACACTTTGCAACTTTCATCCTTTGTGCCATTTTACAGGGGTTACAAGGACTTACATAACTATATGCTTCAAGACTATTATTGCTGTGGAATTAATTTCTGCTTGTTGTAGATAGTGCTCCCGATTGAAATATATTCAGATCTTCAAATAATATTCAAATATCATTTCCTTAAAATGATTTATGGGTGAATAACACTTTTGATGAATTAAATACATTTTGGTTGGATGTAATAAAAGTATTACAATAAAGTGAGTTTCTACACTTAAAATCAAAACTTATTCCAAAGTAAAAGTTTATATGTTATCAAAACAATTAAAGAAATATATTATTTACTATAAGCTCATTATAATCTAACAAATACATTAGATTTTTTATATTTCCATATATTTTACATATAACAATGATATGTTTTACATGATTTTAAAAAAAGCTAATTTTATAAACTCACTAGTTAATGATAATTTTCTGTGGCTAAAATTATTATTTTGAAAATTTCATAGGCTATCAAATAAAGAAATTTAAAACTTCTGTGATAAAATTAACAGTTTCTGTGCTATTATTTTTCATGGTGAACTCTACATTAAAGAGATTTTATATTAAGTAAATTTTTCACATAATGTCACCATACATACAGATTTCCTTAAGGTGTAAAATATGAATGCAAATTTCAGCTCAAGATACATTCTCTATAATA